GGGAATTGTATACTAATGAAAGAATATTTTTTTTCTTTTTCTCTTCAGAGGGGGGAGCGAGCTTGTGGGGACGGGTGGGCAGGGAGAAAAGTGCGGCAATGAATGGATGGAAATCCAAAACCTCTGTAAATGTCTATTAAAATTAATAATAATTTTAAAAAACAAACCCCCAAAAAACCCCTGGAGGGTCAGCTGTGAGTTAGCTGTGACTGAACGGTACTTAACAGCAACAATGTGAATCTTCAAAACAAAACAAAACAATCTGTCTTGGAAAAAAGCACAGTCAGAGTGCTCCTTACAAGCAAAGACGGTGAAATTTCAGGTCACTCACTATGGTCATGTCAGATGAGGGGTCAGTCCTTGGAAAAAGAGATCATGCTTGGAAGAAGAGAGGATCTGTGAAGCAGACCCACCTCAATGAGACGGATTTGCCCAGTGACTGCCACTCTGGTCTTATGCACAACAGAGCTCATGAAGATTCTATCATTTGGACCAATTCAGTGCCACCAATCATAACTCTCTAAAACGCTTTTATCTAACTCATATGCTGGAACCTGGTCTTTCCAGCTGAAATCAAGTTCAGCTAAAGTCATACTGGAGTAAGGGTGCACCTTAAATTCAGTAACTTTTGAAACAAGAGAAGAAACACAGAACCACTCACGGAGAAGACAGATACATGCAGAGGAAAACACAAACTGCAGTAACGTGTGTCCACGTGGACAAACACCAAGGCCTGACGACCAGCAACCAGAAATGGCGGGGAGTAAGAAAGGGTTTTCCCCTCAAGCCTTCAGGGAAAACCCTGCTGACTCTATAGTTAGAGATTTCTGGGACCCAGAACTGTGAGAGGATAAATGTCTGCTGTTTTACAAGCCCTAGTTTGTGGTGCTTTGTTATTCGTTTCCTAATGAACAGAAAAGAAATCCCTGAGACAAACATTTCAGGTGTGGGAAAGTGAAGGTGAGGCATTGGGAGAGGTAACTCAATGATCTAGGGACAGGGTATGTCCCAAGGTGTGTGAGGAAAGGAGGAAGAGTTTGGTATGGGAAAAGACCTCTCAGATGATTGTAACGTGGCATGTAAAACACTGGAGAGGCGAATTCAAAGGCGTTGGAGAGAATGTTGAGGAAGGACCAGGACAGGTGATGCTTTTGGGCTTTCTTGAGGCCACAGTGAGCGTGGGTTCCTTGTGAGTAGAGGAGGAACAGGGTCAGGTCATGGGCATACAAGAGGAGGGAAGCTCCCCGTCATTTTCAGAACTGGAGTCCCTCTTTGGAGTCTCAGCTGTGGCAAACCATAGGGAGTGAGACTGGAGTCTGAGCAGCCAAGGGGGGAGGCTGGTGTGACAGTCCGAGGGAGAGAGGGCCACCAGCTGAACTAGACCCTGCAGATGGAGCCAGAAAGTGGTTTCAGACTTTCTCAGGAAGTCACGTTTACAAAATCCACTGACTCATGGGGCGGGCTGGGCAAGAGCTCGAGATGACAAAACTGACTTCCAAGATGTCGACTCAGATAACTCAGATAGAAGGGACGATGTGAGTTCAGAGCAGTCTGGACTGGACAGAGGTTAGTGAGAGTCACCAGAGCGGAGGAGCTGACTCGTGGGGTTCTTCGGAGAGAAGTCAGAGGCCCCTTGTCAGATGTAGGCGGGCACCCACGTACTATGGCTTCCTGTGGGAAACTGCGATGACAGAAATTGGGTGAGGAGTTGGGAAAGAGTGTCATGGGAGAGTGAGGGGAGGGAAGTCAAGAGAGAAAAACACAACAGATGGTGACACGGGGCTGTCGACCAGGATAACACTGTGACCTGGAAGAGTCTTACCAAAGGGAGGGAGGGAGAAGAAAACAGAGTCTGAAGAGTAACAGAAGCTTCGTTACATCAGGCCTTATCAACATCTGTCTCCTACAAGTTCAGAATTCTCATCTCTGCCCCTGGATTGACAGAGCTCCACTCTCTTGCCAGTCCCTGAGAGGACAAGTCTTTGCCCACCTGTGCTGTTGCCCTGGAAGGCTCGGATGGTCAAGTTCTTGGGCACATCTGGAATAGAAAGGGACAACTGACCATCTGCAGTATGACAAGGTGGCAGAGGGCAAGATGGGGAAGGGGTGGGGGAAAGTAGATGTTCTTTTCATCTTGATCTAGACGAGTCTTCAGCAACTGTCTTCACCTTCCCCACCCCAACGCCCTCTGCCCTTCGGAGCCCAGGTGTCTCTGCCCAGCACTCACAGGACACGTTGAGCTGGATGGTGCTCTCCATGGCCACGCCTCCTCCAGACAGGGTCACCTGGCAGGTGAGCTTGGTGCCATGGTGGTGGGACTCCGGCGTGAGGGTGAGTACCGGGGAGTGGAGAGTCTTGGGATCCAAGGATGTGAGGGCCACTCCAGTCCAGGAGAAGGTTGGGGGAGTGACCATCTTACAAGTCCATGGTATCGTACAGGTTATGTTCCTGGGGTGACCAGATTTTAGGGTCCCCTCAACGTGGATGTTTGGTGTCTGTGTCAGGGCTAGAGGAAAAAGACCCAGGTTCTAGAGTTCAAGACCCCTGAGTGTAACCCTGACAGCAATCTCTTGGCAAGTAATTATTTTTGCAGCCAGTCCCAATATTTTACTCCCCATGATCCTTCCCAGAGGAGGAGGAAATTATCCCATCCCACCCCTGTCCAGGGCCCATGACCTTCCCCTGTGGCCTCTCCGGGAGCCAATTTCTTACCTGTCACACGCACAGAGAGCTGGTTATCTAGGAAATTAAATCTCACCACAGGTCCTCTCTCTATCCTAAAGAAGTATGTCCCTGCGTCCCCTTTCTGTGCCTCTCCAATTTCCAGGGAGCAGTCATAGATATGGGGATCTCCGAGGAGATGGAATCGGCCCTGGGTCCTGGCCTGCACTCTTCGCTGAGGGTTATTGGTGGCCACTGGATCTCCCTGGCTTGCATGGGCATTGCCCCAGAACCAGTAGCCGTAAGCAGGGGTAGATCTGTTCCAGCTGTGGTGGGGGTAGAAGACAGTGCAGGGCACTTGGATGCACAGACCCTCCTCCACAGTCACTGGACTCTGAATTTGCAGCTGGAATTCCGAATGCTGGGTCCGGGCTCCTGTAAGACGTGAGGGTCAAGCACAGCTCGGCTGCGGCTGCCACTGGTTCCTCCCCGTGCGCTCACTCACCTACCCAGAGCAGGAACAGCAGCATCTCCAGGTGAGGCGTCCCTGGGCTTCTGTCTGAGGAGAGAAAAGGGAAGGTTAGAGGCGGGTGGACGAGGATGGTGGGGACTGGGACTGCAGGAAGGCAGGGAGGAGCCTCCTTAGGCTAACAGAAGAGGAACTTCAAATGCACACGCAGTCAGAGCTCCTCCCCCCTCACCCTTCTCATCAGAGAAGACAGAAACTACGTCCTTGAGACCCCAGCGACCTGCTCAGAGAGGACAGAAGAGACAGACCAGCTCCTAACACCCTGCCTCCCAATGCTGGCAACTTTCTTGAGATCTAGAGTTTTGGCAACTTTCATGAGTCTGACCAGGTCATCTGAGGACAACAGAGGCAAAAGATATGGAGGGAAGGGTGTTCTGGGTACCTCCCCAAACTGGGTGAGTTTTTCTGACACCATCACCCATGCTGAAGACCTTGTCCATCCCTGTCCTATCCTCAGCCAGCTTCACCTAGACTCAGGGACGGTCAGTACTGCTGGATTTGTATGTTGGAGGAGGCCTGTGAGAGTATCTGGAACATACTGTGTGAAGTTAAGGAGGCAGGTACTCATTCATTCATTCATTCATTGATCAGACACATAATAGACAGTCACATGTTTGTAGGACTGGGGACCACAGGAGACCCAACTGCCTTTGAGATACTCTTCATACAGTAGTGTTACCTCCTCCCCTAATGCAGAATCACGAGACTTCAGAGCTTCACTCACGTGCTGTGAGAATTGTCTCTGTTGGCTAGTAATACTACAAGTGGACAATGTTTAAAAGCAGATTTATTCTCTCTCTGCTTGGGAGACCAGAAGGGAAGGGCCTTACAAGGGTTCAGAGTGCTGGTTCTAGACGAAGGCTTTCTCTCCACGTTGTCAGCTAGGTCTAGAACATTTCCAGGGCATGGACACTGGATCCAAATGGCGTGCTCCACTTTGGACTCCACTCTCTTGGTGGTATACTAGGTCCCTCATTCTCTCTGCCCACTTGTTTCTTCTTTCCTGTATTTCATGTAAGACCAAAGGTGTTGCAGGGCACCCCCAAGGAGAACTTCCCTTTCACCAGATCATGGGCGTGACCAGAGGAAGGATGTTGCATCCGACTGCAGTCCTCTTACAATGGATTGTTTTACCACGTGGTGTCACATCACGAGAGACGATCCGACTGCTGTTAAATTCCACCATCACATTATCTACCAGCTGAGACTCACGGCTCATCCAAGTGGACAGGTGTTTTGGGGACACACAATTGAATCCATGACAGCAACATGTAGGATGCTGGAGTGTTTTCAAGTATGAATATGGAAATTTTTCTTGGCATACCAATTTGCAAAGTTCCAGAGCCATCTCTGGACTTAGAACCGTGCAGTATCTTTTCATGTAAAACCAAAGGCAAACATACACGTTCTATGTATCCGTGAAAGTGGTTGTGCTTGGGTGCTCTCAAGGTAGAACCGACCCACAGCTGACCCTCCAGCGGGTTTTCTGAGGCAGTAAAGAGGAGATGACCCATCTTGGTCCAATGGAGCAGCTGGTGGATTCGAACCGCGTGCCTTTCGATTGGCAGCTCCTTACCATAAGGCCACCAGAGCTCCCAATGGCCTATTTTCAGTTACTAATTATCAACGAAAGAACAGTTACTTTTCTTTAAGTACAGTGTGGGCTGGTACAACTTTCCTTGGGTCCTCCACTAACATCCCCATTTTTGCAAAACATCCACTTTTCAGAGTTAAATGTGTCTCAAGTGGTATCACATTCCCGGAAAGCATGAATGGGCTATTCAGGCAAGACGAAAGTTTAAAGTTCACCCTCTGCAGATTTTTCCATCTTATTCTACATAATGCATTATCTAGCAAGTCACACAGGACATAATATGCCACCACATGTTTGAAAAGCCTTCCAACACAATTTTTACATAAATACTCAATCTTACATATTGTTTTGTGTCCTTGTTTGATATGTGAGAAGGCTGCATCTCTGATCATTAAGATAACGTGAGAAAGATAGGCAATCTCTGCCCAAGTGATTTACAGCCTCTTAAAACCCACTAGAGGGTCAGCTATGAGTAGTTTCTGACTCAATGGCATGTAACAATAGAAAATGGCATGAAATTTATTTTTAACAATAAAGAAATTATACCATAGTCATCGACTGAAAGATTAAATATATGAAGGTGTAAATTCTCAGTTTTGCAAATAAACATCTTCAGCTATAATTTCCATTAAAATGCTTTAACTTTTCAAAATCATTGCTCCTGAGTACTGCATAGTATTCCATCGTGTAACTGTACCATACTTTCTCAATCCATTTGGTTCTGATTGGCCATTTGGGCTGTTTCCACATTCTTGCAATGGTGAATTACACTGGTATTGATGTCGATGTACAAATCTCCACTTGTGTCTCAGTTCTAATTTCCTTGGGGTATATTCCTAGTAGTGGAATAGCTGAGTCACACAGAATGTCTGTGTTTTCTTTTTGAGGAAATGTTAAACAGCCTTCCAGAGTGCTTGTACCATTTTACAATCCCACCAACAGTGTACGACAGTTCCCGGCCCTCCACATCCTCTCCAACAGTTGTTTGCTGCCCCGCTAAACTTTGCCACTGCTACTGGGGCGAGATGGTGTGTCACTGTGGTTTTTATTTGCATCTCTCTTATTGCCAGTGATTTGGAACATATTTTCATGTGTCTATTGGTGAGTTGAATATCTTCCTCTGTGAAAAGTCTTCCCATGCCTTCAGCCCATTTGTAATTATCAATCTTTTTCTTGTGGAGGCCCAGGAATATTCTGTAAACTTTTGTAATAAGACTCTGTGTGAGATGGTATTACCAAATCTTTGTTCCCAGTCTTTAGGTTTTCTTTTCACCCCGTTGGGAAAAGTTTTTTATGTACACATGGGTTTAATCTTTAGAAGAGCCCATGCATCAATTTTATCCTCTTCAGATTGTACACTTCTAGTTGTATTTGGCAGTCTCTTTTTATCTTGGACTAGCGCTTCTAAGCTTGATTCCAATTATTTGCTATGTACCAGAATGCAGAGCAATAACTAGGGATGACAGAAGGAGAATTGATGCCTCAGAGCTGTGGCGCTGGAGAAGAGTATTGAATATACCATGGACTGCTAGGAGAACAAACAGGCTCATCCTAGAGAGGGTGAAACCAGGCTGCTCCTTGGAGGCAAGGATTCTGAAGCTCTTTCTGACATACTTTGGACATGTTTCAAGGTAGGACCAGTCCTTGGAGGGGGACATCATGCATGAGAGGGTGGAAGGACAGTGCAAGAGAAGAAGACCATGGATGAGATGGATTGACTCAATGACTGGGGTAATGTGGGTAGGTGTGTCAGAGATGATAAGGTTGGCTCAGGAGCAGAGTTCAGAGCTTTGGTACACAGGGTCACTATGAGTTGCAAATGACTCGACGGCACATAATCACCACAACAGCGTCTCATTCTGAATCAGTTTACAGCGACACTGAGACTGCTTGCATATGTTCTTTGCATGCACCTGTTTATCTTCTTTGGTGAAGTGTGTGGTCCAATCTTTTGCTTAATTTTATGTTTGTTGTTACTGAGTTACTGTTTCATTTTGAGAGGCCTTTTTTAGAATCTGTATGCAAGGCATATGGTGAGGTACAAATTTAGCTTATATTTTCTTCCAGTCTGTTCCCTTCTTTTATACTCTCTAAAGAATATTTTCTACAGACCACCAGGCTGCATGCCTGCAAACATGTGATAGAGATTAGATGACTCCCTAGTATGTCAGGACACAGAACAGAGCGAGGGGGAGAAAGAGAGAGAGGCCAGGTAGGGGCATTCTATACAAAGGTGGTATGAGCAGGAGATCGTTGAGAACTAATGCAGAGGTGAAACTAAGCCATCTCCTTTCACTGCTAACTTCACCACAGGTCACTGCTTTCTCGCTGACCTTGGACCCACGCAGACAGCTTCACATTTGAAAGAGGATGCTGTGGTTTGGAAACTTTCTTCTATGCTCCGCAGAGCCCAGGAGCACAGAGCATAGTCTAGGAGTGTTTCTCACCTACCCCAGACATCAGTACAATAAGCAACCATCCTATCCTCATCAACTCCATCTTTGTCCTGTCTGGCTCTCCTCAATAGGTCCATTCAGTACAGGAGGTGGCAGGTGTCTACTGCTCTGCCTGGAACATCTGCTAGTGATCATGAAAGGAAGAAGGAGAGGGCTCACAGTGGGGCCCCTGACAGACAGTAGGTCCAAGAGGAAATCTACAGTCCAAGAGCCAAACAAGACCCTGATTTCTTGCTACATTTCCAGGGCACTGTTTATTCCTTCTTTCTCATTTCCTCCCCATAATATTTAACAATAACAGTGCCTGGTCCTTACGGGGAAACGTGGTAGGCAGAATGAAGGCCCTTCAAGGTGTCCACATCCTAATTCCCAGAGCCTGTGAATAGCTCACCTTACCATCGCTAAAGGAACTTGGAAGATGTGATTAAATTATGCATCATGAGACAGTGAGATTATTCCGTGGACTCACTATAACCATGAGAATCCTCATAAGTGAAAGAAAGGAGTCAGAAAAGTGATTATTAAAGTCAGAAGGGAGCTCTGGTGGCCTAGTGGCAGGAAACTGTATTGCAATCCCAGAGGAACATGGTTCAAATCCACCAGATGCTCTGCTGGAGAAGGAGGAGCAGTATCCTCCTGTACCAGTCAGATCTGATTTGATGGTACACACACACAAAATAATAAAATTTAAAATAACGCTATTAACGTCAGAAAACGTTTGATGATGCTCCACTCCTGGTTCTAATTTTAGAGGAAAGAGTTATTTACCACGGAGCACAAGTGGCCTCTAAAAGCTAAAAAAATCAAGGAAACAGAGTCTTCCAGCTTCCAGAAGGAGGCAGCTGTGCCCATATCCTGACTTGAGTAGCGTGAGATCCACTTCATACTTTCCCCCCCGCCCCCACTTCATACTTCTGTCTTCCAAAACCGTGTCATGACAACTTCGTGTTGCTGTAAACTGCTAATTTTGCAGTGTTTGC